ATACAAAGCTTAATGCAAATGGGCGAAGTGTCCCTTTAAATAAAAGATATCCAGTTTACTATCCTATAAAAGAAGAAGCATCAAATCCTCACATTTGAAAAGCGGCAGCAGTGAATCAATCATCGTAATAACTGCAGATTAATTCTGGTTTTTAGCTGTAACCACACGCATTGTGTCACCTCGTAGTGAAGCAGCTCTTTACTGAACGGTGTCTCAACTTGTGTCGTAGGTGTGGGCGCTGGGCGCTCGCCAGACTGGGTGAAGTGAGAGCTGAGAGGGAAACCCGCTAAGATAAAAACACCACCTGGGACTGCTGAGGAGGACCTCTGTGCAGGTGAGGACCGACAGAGAGAGCTGCTTCATTTCAACACTAAAGGCTAATTCAGGATTTTCCCCCCAGAGCGGGAAATGTAAACTATAAAGTATAGAACATTTCCAAGTTATAAAACAAACCAGTTCATCATGATAACGTTTATAATACCTGAAAAACCGACAGAGCGTATGATTGTGATTTGACTTGTATGCCATCAGCTGCAGTCAGTGTAGAGCAAAGAGGAGGAACATTTGAATTTTATGTTTTAACATTATACTTTCATTCAAATGAACCTCCAGTGAGTTTTCTAGTAGGACAGGTTTTGCTCCGACAAGCAACCATTACTAAGAAACAGTCAGTGAAGATCTTAATGTCTTTAAAATGATGTCCTTTCTCCTCTCTTAAGCGTTGCCTTGACTTGTTTTTGTTCAGTCATTCACTGTCATTGGGTCGGTGTTTCATCTAGAGACGAAACGATTAGTCGATCGACAGAAAGATTACCGGCTTAGATAATCAATTTCACATTTTTTCAGGCAGAACTGACAAACGCTTCTTAAATGGTTAAAATTTGTGTTTTTCTCTGTTTTTAAAACATTGTAAATTTAATATTTATGGTTTTGCACAAAGAAAGTAAGTTAAAGATTATTATGAGCCTTTTTCAGTAATAATCGATAGTTTAAAATAATCGTTAGTTGCAGCCCTGTTACTTTTATTATATAATGTAGGACAGTTGACAGTTTGTTTTTGATTCACAATTAGTTGGAATAATCATTTCGCATCACAATTTGATTATCATTGGGGGGGAAAAACAGATGATGTCACATTTTTTAGGGTTTGTACCAAACAAATATGTTGTTTTTTTACAGGGGGGATTAACTTGTTACCACAGCTCCAGATTGAACACAGCAGATAAGAAAAAAGAAATACACTTTAAATAACAAAATAAAATAGATATAATGAAACTCTTCTTGGCTTAAAGAGGCTTAAGAAATACAGAAACACCTTTCCTTAGAGAATTTATATAAATAAGTTCCTGGATGTCACCTTGTTACTTTATAATCCACGACGTATAATTCGCTCCGTAACCTTCCCAATCTAAAAAAGAGACTGTCTGATCCGTTTCATTATCTCTGTGACCCCGGAGTGATCACAAAAGAGAGGACGGGAAGGGAGGAACATGAGGAGTAAGAGTGAAACAGAGGGGATATTTCTATTTCAGCAGATCATATTAAAATGAGTAGACAGATATGATTCAGGCCGTGGGGGACATACAGTCTGGAAATGAACGGATTCTGCATTAAGGACACGCTCTTCCTGCTTCTAGGTTCACGCGGCCGTCGGCAGGGTGGAGCCTCCTGACCCATGGAGAATTACTTCCAGGCCGAGGCCTTCAACCTGGACAAGGTGCTGGACGAGTTTGAGCGGAACGAAGGTGAGCTGCAGACGTGGGGACAAACAGCGAGTCGCTGAGAGGAGACGGAGGGGACGAGGAGGCGTTTCAGAGGAGCTGCGGTTTAGGGCGGCGTTATGTAACACACGAGTAAATCATCAGCCACCGCCCAATGAGTTTGAGTAACATTTACAGGTGGTGATTGAGGGTGTGCACACAGGGAATAGGACTAATTGGATTATCCATTTCCCTCGGGCTTGTGTGAAACTGTGTTATTGGTGCAAGACAAGAGGGTTTTTTCTTCTTCTTCTTCTTCACACTTAATGCTCAAAATAAGTAAAGAAATTGTGTTCGGGGGCTTTTTTTTCCAGTTTATTTATGGTGATTGTAGAGTAAACACTGCGTTACCGAGCTGTGTATCTGCATACTCTCCGCTCTCCGGTACAAACGGCTCATTACAGAGTCAAGACCCCTCTTTTTCTGGATTTATGGCAGACGACCCCAGAAGAAAGGCCAGTCCTCCGCACACAGCATATTTCGGCGGTACTGTGAGCTCAGTGTGTGTTTTGGCTGTGAGTGATTATCTGTGTGTGCTCTGCCAGAGATCCAGCTTGGCAAATCAACTCTGTGTGAGTTAACGTATGTGTGCCTGAAGAAGCCCGTACTAAAACAGCTTAGCATGAATTCCAGTGGAGGGTTTTTGTTTCGGAATAAATATTCTAAAGAGTTTCCGCTCTTATTACACAGCATTCATGTGTCAGCTTGACTGATGGCTCCCGTGGGGGACCGAGTCGTTTGGCCCACTTTCTCAGAATTTCCCAGTCCATCCACACTAATTTCCCTCTCCATGCCAACCTCATTTCTCAATTTGTCCCCTGGTTTGTTCCTGCCATTTTTAGCTCTTTCGATCACCTGGGAATGTGTATCTTTGTATTGGTTCTCTGTGGCAGTTCGTTTGAGGCTTCCTGTCGTGACACTTCTTCTTTTCTGTTTCGTGTCTCTGACATGACAAGAAACCTGCAAGCTGTTGAAAATCATTTGGCCAAAAGGTCACTATTGGGTCGATTAATAACTCAATATACAGACTAAGGATTCATGACGAATAGCTCAGAGTGAGAGCCATATAATCGTCAGTTTTCCTCTCTTCTCTTCTCTTCTTCTTTTCTCTGCCAGATGAGACAGACAATCCAATTCTCTCAGATGCCAAGTGGACCCAGATCCTGGCCCCACCAGCCCACCTGCTCTCTCTGAACCCCGCCCTGGCCCACGCAGACCTCAGCCCCCGGGAGAGTCCGCTGCCCTTCAAGACCCTCCCCGACTCCTCCTCCTCCAGCGCCTCCCCGGGGGGCGACCCTAAAAGACACCCCGGTCCCGAACCTCCGTCCTGGGCAGAGGAGAGGCCGGCAGACGTCCACAGCCCGCCGCTCCCCCAGCCCAACATCGGCAAACTGGTGGGCACAGACGACGCCTCGCCGCCCCCTGTGACGGCCTGTAGTGCTGTGGAGAACGGCTGCCCTGCCAGCCCGCAGCTAGATGGGCTCAGCAAGGACATACGTTCTCCTCCAGATAACCAGCCTGCTGGTCCTGACCAGGAGGTGAAACCTCATCAGGAGGAGGCGGCTCCAGCAGGAGGAGGAGGCGGCTCCACTCACACTCACTTTAACTTTGAGGTTGGGTTAGGACAGGAAGAAACTACGTCTCTGAAAATTCATCCGAATGTGGAACCAACAACAGAAAATGGGGAAAGTGTGAAAGAGGAGGTCATTACAGCTTCTTTACAGGACAAAGGTCAAGAGAAACAGACTGCAAACTTAAAGGAGGAGCAAGTAGAAAGTCTCCCAAACAGGGGGAGAGACGTTCAGGCTGGTTGTGAGGTGGAGGAGAACGGTGTGTCTCCTCATGACAGCGCTGGAGTGGAGGAAAACGAGAGGAGTCCAGAGGGACAGATAGATCAGCTCCTCAGAATAACAAGCCTTCCTAATGGTTTGGAGCAAGAGAACAGTAGCCATCCCAAACCTAAAGAGACAGAAGAGAAGGAGGAGGAGGAGGGTTTTTCTCCCTCTCCTGTTCCCTCCAAAGAGGACTCTGTCACTGAGGAGAAAGAAATGGAGGAAAGCAAGCAGGAGAACGGCGAAGGAGGAGGAGCAGTGGGGTCAGGTAGCATCCAACCAAAACTCAACAACAGTCGGCTGCAGCCGGTCAGCGTTCCTTACGGAGGCGCACGACCGAAGCAGCCGGTCAGCCTCAAGCTCCAGATCCCACAGCCGCCGTCGGGCCAGGTCCAAAATCAGCTCGGGCCGGCCGCCGTCAGCAAGAACAAAAACCAGGAGAACCAGTGTCGGAGAGGCACGCCGCCTGAAACTACACTCAGCGGGACTGATCCGAGTGCAGTCGGGGTGAACGGTGATAGTGCCGTCCACTCTGCTCCCACGATGCCCTCGGAGAGCCCCGACAACGACCTCCAGGCGGGTCAACAGGGCGCTCTGTGCAGGAAACCCGCCAGCTCCCTGGGAGAGGTCGCCCCTGTGTGGGTGCCCGACTCCCAGGCTCCTGTCTGTATGAAATGTGACGTCAAGTTCACCTTCACCAAGAGGAGGCACCACTGCAGGGCCTGTGGCAAGGTCAGTTCTGAGCACTGTAACAAACAAACACAGTAACTTCACTGATGAAACAATTCTGCTCTGTTGTGTATTGATGTTTATTATCATATAATAATAGACAAAGTGCTGCTACCAGTACAACAAAGATCGTCTGCGTCTAAAGAATCAAAAGGTTAATTTTGGGGTTAGTGCCTCAGAATGAACGGTTCTTATTTTGTGCCAACAATCATCCAGGTAGGAATAAATCAGAAAAGTGAAGAGGTGCGTTTTCTCCGCCCTACACTAACCTTTATAGACTACATGACATTAAAAATCTGCCTCACTGTTGTTTCTGGGACTCGCCAAATGATGTTGGCCTTTCAAGACAGATTTAGAGAAAGCTAAACTTGCAAAACACTTGAGCAGAAAATAACTCCAGGAATGCAGTTAACATCCCATAGTGGCGACCTATAGCAGTGTTATGCAGCAGTAGAACAATGGAGGTTTCTTTCTTTTGCTTTAATCTACTACATTTGTATTTTTGAGATTTAGCTGATGCCTTCATCCTGGGTTTCTTTGCTGTGTAGGATCTTTTTCAGGACACAAGAGTTGCAACTAATTGTTTTCATTATAATTTAATCTTCATATTATTTTCTCGATTAATGCCTGACAAACATTTCCAAACCCAAAGATTTTTATTTTACTGTGATATACCTGGAAGAATCAACCCCGTAGTGTTTGTGCGTCAGGCAGATTGCAGTAAATCCTCTTGGACACAGACACAGAAAATGTACTAATTACACTGGAAACAAAACAGGATAAAAACGTTCAAACAAAAGACAGAAATCATAGTTACTAGGATGAGAAACGAGAAATGCATTGCAACTTTTAAAATCCCTAACAGAGTAATCTTCCACCGGTGAAGAGCTTTGCAGGAGGAGGTAAGTTAAATAATGTGCTTTGATAAATAAGTTTAATTTCAGGGCTTTCTAGCATCATGTCCACCCACACATGCAGCACAGTGCTTTAAAGTGAAGATGTGGCCGCTGACACTGCACTGGAAAATCGCCGGACTGCTACTTAATTTCCCCTGGTGGTAAACAAACACAGTCTCTGCCACTTGAGCAGGGAGGAGCTGCCACTGCAGTAATACTGACACCAGCAGCGGGCCCGCAAACAACAGACGCAGCGGGATCCTCGGTGCCTCCACAACCCGACCGGTGGACCCACACACCAGTTTACAACGCTGAAATTAAAAGGATCCTCCACCTTCTGTCTAATGTGTACTAAATGTTACGGGATAATGATGTGTAAGGAGGTGCTAATCCTTTAAAAATGAAGTGCCTTGTACACAGCTGTAGCTCGTTGGGAGTGCCAGCAAAGTACAGGGAATCAATATCCACAAAACGGTACATTTGCTGCACGCTTAATCGCAATTCTTCACTTTAAAAAAACCTTCACAGTTGAAATATAATCATTTGGAGAAATGTATTTGGTCCAGCGTGCTCATCCTTTATAGGAACGTGGTGTAAATAGTGTGTTTGTGTTTTTAAGGTGTTCTGTGCGACGTGCTGCAGCCTGAAGTGCAGGCTCGTGTACATGGACAGGAAGGAGGCTCGCGTCTGTGTCACCTGTCATTCTGCTCTGACCAGTGGTGAGCATCATTGCAAGTAGAGAGTTTGTTCTTTACAGCTTTACATGTTGCGTTTATGTCTGTGATTTGTTTGTATAAATGCAACTGAGGAGCAAGTCAAGTCAGCTTTATTGTCAGATGTGCTATACATGCACGACATACAGCACAAATGAAATTTCAGTCCTCTCGGACCCACGGTGCAAACATGCAATAAAAAAAATAGAAAAAATAGAAA